CTGACGCTCTTTCCGCATTTTCTTCAAAAGGTGGAAGTATCAATATATATATTTATTTATTTTGGCAACTTGATTAAATTTAATTAAATTAAATTTTTATGTTTCTAATTTTTCATTTGCATAAACTGAATTTTAATTATAAAGAAAAATTTTGTGTACTGATCGCATTTATTGAATTCTTCAAGTGCGATTTAAACCTTCAATAGGCAAAATTTGCAAAAATTCATAGAAATAAATATATTGTATAATACTTCTTACTTTCTTGAAATGGTTACTGAAATTTTAATTTCTGGATATTTCAATGTTTGCCCGCTAAAGGGTTAATGTGAGGGTAGGGTGAGGGTTAGGCCCCCCTGCCACGCTAGGAGGAGGAGGAGGAAGAGCCTTAATGTGAGGGTAGGGTGAGGGTTGGGCCCCCCTGCCGCGTCAGGAGGAAGAGAGTTATTTTTAGAGCGAGAGATGGGATGAACGGAGAGTGAGGGTCGATGTGGAGGCAGAAAGCTGCTTGATAATAGAAAATAGAGGCCTGTGCTACATATTGTACATATGTACATATTGTACATATGTACATATTGTACATATGTACTACAGGCCTCGACAATATGAGTATCGCATCGCGAGCACAATGATGGTGTATCAGTTTGGGCTAGGGGCTGAGTGAGGGCGAGGCAAGTGGCGTTGATTTTAAGAAGGATTTCGTCTTGGGTTTATAATATTTAAATCTATGTTGTTATATATTATCAATTTTTGTATTATATTCCATGACGATATTGTTTTGCATGCTTGTTTCCTGATTATCATAATGTACTTAAAGTAAGAAATTTGACTTGCATCTGACAGTCCTATATTCAGGACTTGAAAAAATTACCTCTAAATGTACATACTTTACAGTCAAGTGGATTCTGAATGTTTATTATCACTATTCACTTCCCCAATAATTTGAACAAATGAAGGCTCGTAGATTGCAGGCTTATATGGTAGCTGCTTTATCTGATCTTAAAATAAACGCTATGAACTGTCCGCAGAGTGACAGCCTGACATCAGCTGTTGGCACTGACGTCAGATTATCTGACCCTACTGGTGCTGACGCGGTCAATAGTCGAGGCGACAGTGCTGACACTGCTGTTGCTGACAGCACTGCTTCTGCAAGGACTAGTTCTGATGCTGACAACAGCACTGCCACCAGCACAGCGCACCTGTCAGCCATGAAGACCTCAGCGACATTCCCGTCAGCGGCTGATCTCAACACCAGCCTGCTGACCTCCTCTGCTTCAATGGCTGACCTCAGTGAGTGCTGACCGCAGTGAGGTGACGGTTGACTTCAATGAACCACCCTTCTCTCATCACCCCCCATCTCACCACCCCTCACACCACTCCTCTCACCACCCCTCTCTCACCACCCCTCTCTCCACCCCTCTCTCACCACCCCTCTCATCACCCCTCTCACCACC